GACTGCCGCGAACCCATCGTCGCGGATTGGCTGAAAACACTTTTAAATTGCACCAATTAAACCAATTAGATATTCTATTATATTACATAGTGGTTTCGTGTTGTAGGTCTCTTTTTATACTTGACCAATATCAAGTCCAAGCTGGGCACGTTGTTGGCGCCTCCGTTTTGTTAGTTCAGCTCCGGCCACGAGAAAGCATGCAAAGACCACATCAATACTGCATCACCTGCTGCAAATATGCGTGGTACTATATATCTACATTTGAAATTAGTTTACGAAGGCTGCTGACGCAGGCAATCCATGCAGTGTGCTCTTCAGACGCGAGATGGGACGAGCGGCGAGGCCAAGACGGAAGCGCTGCGGGCGTTCTGACGAGCTCCAACGACAACTACAAACTTGGTGCAACGGGTATTGAACTGGCGACATGGAGAGGATATCCATGAGCGAACCGCGCCTGCTTCCAGACAACGACCCAGCAAAAGGCGGCTCAGGTATCGTTTGGCCGCTTCCTACCGTCGACCGCGTCAGCGCCATCGACTCTATATTTCGCTACTACGTGCTCGCTGTCTGCCTGTGCAGCGTATGCGCCGGCCTCTTGCGTTGCGTTGGCTCATGCATGCTGGTGTATAATGGCATATGCTCGTCGTCGCTGATCATCCTCGCGCCAGCTTGTCAGCGCGCAAGGTGGCTGTGAATTCAAGGCGCACCACTGCAACGCCACTCAGACACGGGGTGGCCTGCACGCGCCGACGACGATAGCGAAGACACTTGCCGCGCTCGCCTCGTACGTTGGCTCGGGCGTGGCCCAGACGGAGACCGCAGTCCACGCCAACGCCAACGTAGATGTCTCGCCGCTGGACAGTGCGCTGACGTGGATCGTGGATACTCTAGTACGCCGCAGCTGCGGCGCTTGTGTCGTGCCATTGAGGGTCGAGCCAGGCAGCTTCGCCTGAGTGCGATATTCGGATATCCGGTTAATTGTACTAATAAAGCTGTACACCGGAGTACAGATTTTGCTTGATTTTCGGTGGATTGTACCAGTATATTTAAGTCTGTACCCCGGTGTACATATTTGGCAAGAGCGATATCTCGTGCTGTAGACCTCGCACGATGACGGGACGTAGCGTTCCAAACTCTCCAAAGCGTCTTCTATCAATGTGCCAAGTTGCAGCGAGTTGGATTTTGAACGCGATTTTGTCGATCGCAAGTCCTGCAGCGGCGACTGCCGCGAACCCATCGTCGTGGATTGGCCCAAAAAGAACCTAAATTACACCAATAAAACCAATTAGATATTCTATTATATTACATGGTGATTTCGTATTAAAGCCTTATCATTTTTAAACAAACCAGTATCAAGTCGAAGCCCATCACACCTAGATCCGCGTTGAGCCTCAGTTTGGTCAGGCGCAATAAGACTTTGATTCCCTTGGCCAGGCGCCAGCTCCGAGCACTTGGAATCACGCAGCGACAACCTCCTCTATCGTTCTACTCGTATATGCTGCGAGACCGTGCTGGGCAAATCAAACAACTCGTACGATTGAGAGTCGCAACTCGGGCCTCAAGTGAGTGAGGACAGAGTCGAAGGGATCAGTCCTACGGTCCCTAGACATTTCCACCAGCTTCAAATTCTGTCCTCACTCGGGGCCACCGTCGCTTCTACGAGCCATGTACACTGTACTGTCGTACTTTGGTTGCGCGCCGACGCAGGCGAGGTCGACTCGACAGGCGACCGCAATGGAGCGGGCTCATTCATCTCTACACCGTGCAATCCACATCGCTCTTTCTCTGCGAGGTACCATGGTCGATTCATGCAGGCAGTGGATGTCACGGAACGCAAATCCGAGATGCAAACGAGTGTTCTGCATGCATTACAGTGTATTGACGGCCGACGCTTCTTACATGGTGCGCTTGTAGATCTTGCTGAGGAGCATGTGGAAGACGGTCGCGGGCATGTTGTTGACGGCGCCGATGAGCTTGCAAAGCTCGTCGTAGCTCTCGTTTTCGTACTTGCGGTAGACGCCCTCGAGGTCGAGCGAGACGTAGAGCGCCTTGATGACGGCAATCGACGCCTCGTTGTTCTTGCCATAGTGCTCCTTGATGACTGCACGCTGCTCGGGCGTCGCGCGGGCCAGCGCTTGGACGACGAGCCAGCTGCACTTGTTGTCCTGGATGTCCGTACCAATCTAGCAAGAGCCCATGAGTTTTGAGATAAGAAGGGAATAGCTCACACACCTTGCCAAGGACTTCCGGGTCGGCGTAGCAGTCGAGGTAGTCGTCCTGGACCTGGAAATACTCGCCGATCTTGACGCAAATCTCCTGCGCAAGCGTGTAGCACGCCGGGTCCGAGACGCCGCTACGCATCCATCATGAGCGCTTCTTGCGTTGACATTGGGCGACGGCGTGTACCTCAGGAACATGGCCGATGCCGCCGAGAGGTAGAACGTGTAGTACGCCGTCTTGAAGACGACAATCTTCTGGTGACTACAAATCGTACGCTGCATGAGCAACATCCTTGGAAGCACGACGTCGCACCGTTCGATCGTGAAGCGGTCGAGGTTCGTCGGGCCGTCAAGCGGCTGCGACGTCAAGTCGAGAAGCTGGCCAAGTTCCGTCTGGAAGATGACCTACTCACGACATCAGAAAATGTTGCAAGACGATATGAGTGTACCTCCTGGAAGGTCTCGACGAGGTCGAGGTAGTAGCTCTCGCCGCGGAAGTGCGTCTTGAGGATTTGGTAGACAAACGACTCGAGCAAGAACGCGTCGTTGATGGCGATCTGCTTGACCTTGGGGATGCGGTACCAGCACGGCTGGCCACGGCGCGTGATCGAGTCGTCCATGACGTCGTCGGCGACGAGAAAGAACGCCTGGAGCTATCGAGCAGCATGCATGAGCATCACCGCTTCATAGTCACGCTAGTAGTGTACGGACCCATTCGATGCACCAGCCGAGGATCGCCGCCTTCTTGCGGGCCTCGGGCGTCAAGCCCTTGCCCTGCGTCAACGCTTCGGCACTATGCATGCGATGTCAACATCCTGTCCTCGATAAGGCCATGGTCGTACCAGTGGATGACGCTGATGCCACGGTTCAGCTTGCCGCCAATGCAGTTGTAGTCGATCATCTAACACAGTCGATCGCATCATGAGCGGCTGCCTCCTCGACTAGCATGCGTACCTCGTTGACCCAGTCGATGGCCTCCTGGGGCATCGTGTACTTGGTCTTCATCGTCGTGAGGACCTCTTCCTTGAGCTCATAGCAGATCTTGATGAACTCTACGAGGAAGCGTCCATGAGCTCTCATCATCCTCGCCTCTTCCTCGCGCTACCGTCAATCTCTTGCTGCTTGCTGGTCGTCGTCATGGTCGTCTGCGTCCAAAGGGCTCAAAGTGGAAATGCCTCTCGTCCGCCTGGCGCCCGCCACGCAACGTTCTGATTGGCTGAAAATGGCATTTGCAACGCTGGACCAATCAAATCGCCTTGCGCCAGAAGCGGAGCGGGCGACAGTCCACCTCCTCTTCGAGCGGCGCATGCACCTCAATGCAGTAGGATGCACAAGTTGTCTACTGCGACTCCAGTACTCCTGCGCCAGCCCTAGACGCCTACATGATCCTCGTGTGCGGCTTGGGCTGCCCGGGACACGGACGATCGAGGTATCGGGATGATGACGCCAAGGCCGCCACCCAGCGTCATATCAAGCATGCGATTCCTCTCGCTTCGTCCTCCTTCGTTAGCACAAGATACATCTATGACGTGCTCGCGTGGACGCGTGCCTCAAAGAACGCGAGCGCATCGTCCCATAGCTCGATCGGAAGACGCTCGGCGACATGCACCCACGCTTCAATCTGCACGTTGCCTACGCAAGTGTCATCGTCGTATATATGAAGAAGACACCATACCAGACGGCCAAGCGTGGACGTCCATGGCTTGTTGTGAGCTTTTGAGCCGTCGGAGGTAGGCGACGAGGAGCATGCAGTGGACGTCGGTCTCGAGAATGACGCTGTTGTCGGCCTCACCGTCGCAAATGGCAATCAGCGTCGGGAACAGCGCGTCCTTGAACCTACTCGATGGTATCCGCGTTGGTTCATTCGGTATACATTGCTGCCAACCAACGCGTACCGGGGTTCGCAAAAGAAGGCAAACGGCAGGTTGGTGAGGCGCTGGATCATGCTCACGTGGCCCCAGCGCAGCGTTTCTTGGTGGGATGCGTGGCGCAGCGCATAGTGTCCAAGCAGCACGACGATTTGCACGACGAGGTCGTCGAGGCACCGGTCCGTTTGGTGCTTGTTGAGGACGCTCGCGACCAGATGGAGAAACGTCGGTTGGTTGAGCGGCGACCCGAGGGTGTCTTGGAACCAAACGAGGTCGAGACGCGCAATGTTGTTGAGCACGTGAAGCACGAGGGTCGCAAAGGCGACGCTGCTCGGCGTGACGCTGCTCTCGTGGCAGTCGTGGAAGAGCTGGAGCGGAAACCAGCTCACGAGCGCGGCGACGATCCCGACCAGCCCCGTGCTCTTGAGGATCTTGACGAGCGGCAGTCGGAGGTCGGCCATCGACACCACAAGCGTCTTGGTGCACGTCGTTGTAAGCGCAGCGAGAAAGTGCACGCACGACACGAGCAACCGGAAGCTCTCGTCGCCCTCGGCCGGTGGGATGGGCACTTGGGCCAGCTTGTCGACGATGCGAAACAGAATGCCCGAATTGACAATGTACCTAGGGTTCGCATCATGATAAACTCGATGGTAAGCGAAAACGACGGTACCGGATAATGTCTTGGCGCACCATGTCCATCTTGGGCGACGACGGGCTCACGAGCGTCATGGCGACCGCAGGAAACGCCCAAAGCAGCACCGTGTGGCGGCCGTTGTCGTCGGTCACGGTCAAGCCCCAACGCAAGACGTCGACAAGCGGCAAGACGAGGTTCTCGGCCAGAAGGCACTCGACGTTCGTGCGCTGGCCGCCGCACACGAGCAAAAGCACGCGGAGCGCATTGACCATCGTCTCGACGTTGCCGCTGCGCTGTGCGTGGGTCAGCGCGCGGACCGTCAGCGTCAGGCCGCGCAGTTTGCGAAAGAGGTGAAGCGCTGCGTCGCCGTCGGTTGTCGCCTGCAGGAACCGCGAGACGTCTCCCAGTGCCTGGTCCACGTCACTCTATTTCGCCACATGTGAGAGGCTGGTTGTATGGCCAAAAGAACGTACCGGCGATGACAGGCATTGCACGAGACCTTCGACTTGCGCGGCGAGCGTTGGTGCGTGCGCCGGCACGGGACCTTGGAACCCATGCTTTGTGTGTGCCTTCATGCGGTCGCGTAGGCGCTGAGCATTTTTGTTCATCGTTCGCGCCATGCTCGTCTCGAGCGAGAGCAAGTGCTGCGCCATCTTCTCTTGCGGGTGCGAGCTTCGAGGACGCCGCGGCTTTTTGGCTTGCTGGTACGAGAGCCGGCGCGCTTGGACACCTTCGTGGCGTCGCTGAATGTCGTGGATCTTTTGATTCAGCGACGCTTCCTTGGCTTTGGCCAGCGCTCGGATGCTCTCGGCCTACATGGGGTTTACAGAGTAGCATTAGCAGCTCAGTAAGGTCATTCGGGAGATTACCTTGAGACTTGCCTTCTTTTTGATTTCATCCAGAACCGTCTCGCGGCGCGAGGCCACGTGGTCGAGGCGTTGTTGCAGCTGCACATAGCGACAGAGCGTTAGTTGAGTGACATTGTCGAGTGCGTACTTCGATCTTGCGGTCTTGGTGGATCATGCTTTGTATAAAGTTGATTTCGTCGACTTTGGTGTTTTCCGATCCGGCTTTTGTGACGATCCAGCGCAAATGGGCTTCCTTGAGCCGATCCGCGCGGTCCAGTTTCGCCCACATGAGTTGCTACAGGCACTCTATGAGACGAAATGCTACGACTATAGAATCAACCTCTTGTTTCTTGCGCGACGAAGCATTGCGCGACGTGACGTGCTGCATGCGCTCGGCCGCCAGTCGAATGCGCGACAACTACCGTTGGGTGTGCCAAATGTTGAAGAGAGGGAGGAAGAGACGTACCCGCGCCGACTCGATCGCGTGCTTGTTGGCCGTGACAGTGTCGAGCCGCTGCTCCGAGAGAAGCTTTGTCTCGGACGGCGACCGCTTTGGCTTGCGTGGCAAGCTGAGCTTGGGCTGGAACTTTGGCGACGATGCGGGCGCTCTACGGTGCTCATGAGACTTCGAATGCAACATCTCGACCATACGGGACGGGCCGGGGCTTGGCTTTAGAGCGCTGGTCGGACCCGTTGGACGACGTACTGTTGCGACGATGGTGGTGGTGCGTCGACTTGGGCGTCGACCGCGGGTACACTTTTGCCATGTGCTCGAGCGCCTTGGCGACTGTGGGCTTGTCTGCGTTGGAGCCTTTCTTGACTTCCCATGCCAGCGACTTTTGGGTCGAGCTCTTGGTCTGCATCTGAATGAGCTCGAGGAGCTGCGACGCATGAGGCGACGCTACGAAGAGGGAATATGGACCGTACCTTGATAAAGTCATCTTGGCAGGCTTGGAGGACCCGCGCCGCGTCTTCACAGCGAGACGGGATGCTCTCGAGCTCGCACATGCAGTAGAGCTCGTCAACCGCGCTGGATCGGCATGAGCACGCATCAGCATGGAGCGCGTACCTATTGACGTTGCGCACGAGGTACTCCCAGAGCCGCTGCTTGAAGGAGACGCGGCCCATCTCTTCGTCGTCGTCGTCGTCGTGGGCGCCAACATCGTCCTCCTCGACCTGTTCAACGTCATCGTCGGGCTTGTCTTCGTCGTCGCTTCCATATACGTTCTCTACCGTGCATGATTGCATCGCATGCATGGCATCCACGCTGGCGTACCTCGACTCGGGCTCGGACAGGCATCCTCCTCCCTCGCATCGTCATGCTCGTCGTCGTCGACCTCCTTCTCGTCGTGTTCCTGGTCGTTGTCCATCGCGGGATGTATCGCTTCGAGCTTCATCGAGGGCGCGCTCCTCATGGCCTTGATCCGCGCTCCGTCGGTCTCGAGCATGGCGGCGTCTAGGTTCAAGGAGATGCGACAGTGGCGCCGGCCGATGAAGTGATGCGCCGGTTCGCGGATCTGTAGCTCGCGAACCTTCAGCAATTTATATTCATTTTCGCGGGCTTTCGATCTTTATTTCTTCCGTCGAACCAGCCTGCGCCATCAGCAGCATGTCGACGATCGACATCAAGCTCGCGCGCGTCGACCGCGTCTACCGGCCCCATGTACGCATGGCCCTTGGCCCAACGCTTGAGGTCCATGCTGCCTGCGTAGGAGCTCGTCCAGGGCCATGTCATCATCCATGCGACCAACGCGTTCGCCCACCAAGGGATCAGCATGCGCGTCGAGGGCAGCGCCAAGCTCCAGCTCAGCGCCAAGAGCGTCGGGCTCTTCGAGGCCTTTTACAATACGGTCGCGCCGCTCGAGCTTGTCTACTTCCACATCCCGATCATCGGACCCGGCAAGGTCCCGGTGGGCATCACCAAGGTGCCATTTGAGTTTGAGCTCCTCGGCGCCAACCCCAAGCAGTGCTTTGTCGAGACGTACCATGGCGTGTACGTCAGCGTCAAGTACGAGATCATGTGCGACTGCGTCCGCGGCCTCATGAAGAAAAACCTCCACAAGACGCTCGAGTTCATCGTCGAGGTCCCGCTGCGCGACGCGCTGCCCGACGCACCAGAAGAATTTACCATCACGCCCGACAAGATCGAGAACCTCCGCGTCCGCGTCCACGTCCATGTCCATCATCTCATCTACAAATTCATTAGAACACGATGCGCAATATCCCGTCCTTCCGCATCTCGGGGCGCATCCATCGGACCAACTGCCCCGTCAACATGCCGTTCACGGGCGAGATCACGGTCGAAGCAGCATCCGCGCCCATCAAGAGCGTCGAGCTCCAACTCATCCGCGTCGAGAGCGTGGGTACGAACCCAGCCCATATCTATGGCATCGACGCAAGCTCATGCATGATGCCTCTAGTGCACGCCGAAGGAATCGCCCGGGATGGTACATGCGACCGCATTGCTTGCGCCTGAATATGAGCCTCGACTACGTAGCGACCGAGATCCAGAACGTCCAGATTGGCTGGGGCAACGTGACGCACCAGGTAGCGATCCCGATCTACATGATCTTCCCGCGCTTGTTTACGTGTCCGTCCATGCTCACGCCAGGTCCGTCCGCGTCGACTGCGCGTCTTGGTATGACTGCGTGTAGGCTTCAAGGTGCAGTTCGAGGTCAACGTTGTCGTGCTCTTTGAAGACGGCTACATGATCACCGAGAACTTTCCTATTCATCTCTACCGTTAGCCCCGTAAGCCTCTGCGAAACATCATCTTCTTGTATTACGTGGAGGGGCTTACGACTACTGCGCCGTCCAGTTCATCATGAGCGACGCATTCTCGAGCTGCGCGTCACAGATGCGCGTCGTCGTGTCAAACGCAACCGCCTTGGGCGGGTACGCCGACCGCAGTTCAAACTCGCGCGTCTGGGCCTCGGGAATCTACGCACGCAAGATAAGCCCATCCCTCTCTAGATACTACTCCATTACTTCGTGGCGCACAAAGCGCCAGAGCAGCTCGAGCGGGTCGGTTTTCTGGAAGCGACGCAAGAGCCGGCCGCCCGTCGCTGTTCGGATCTGAATGCGTGTCACCGACGGACCATCTAGCACCAGAGTCAAGTGAGCCATGGCTGCTCAAGATACAAGCGTCCGTCGCACCCGCAGGCTCGTCGGGCATGGAAGCCAAGACTGGTGGTGCGGCGACGACCGAGGGCTTCTCCTCAATGACCATATCGTCGTCGTCGTCGTCGCTGTCTTCATTATCGCCGCCTTCGAGGGACGCCGCAATCGCTGCGGCCAACTGCTCCTCTTCCGAGGCATCGTACAAGCTCGTCGCACGGGCCGGCGGTGCGGGCGCCTACGTCGTCGGATCAGGATGCATGCTCGCTCGGCCGATCGTCTTACGGCTTGCGCTTGCGGGCGCGCGGGTGGCGTGGTCTCCATGCTGTTCAGGCAGCAAAAGTCCGAGACTAGCGACCATCAGCATACATAAGTTGTGAGAGCGCTCCACGTACGCTTCTCCGTCATGGTGCCGGGTTCGATAAAGTTGTGCCATTCCACGAGCTTCTGGCCCGTGCGCGGATCGAGAATGCACACGATGGGCAAGAGGCCTTCGTCCACTTGGTACAAGGCGCAAAACTTCTTGCCGTGTTCATTGTTGGCGGGCGTCTAAGAGATACGATCCATCGTCCCGTCTTTTCTCCAGTTGATGTTACCTGCCAAAAGACAAAGCCGCTCGCGACCAGGTTCTGGACAAGGTCGTCGCTCCACGTGTCGCGGTTGAGCATGAGGCTCGCAAAGACCGTCTCGTCCTGGATGTTGACGAGGAGCCACTTTTGCTGCTCGGTCGCATGGCGACGGGCCTACACATGCATATGCATCATGAACGTCCGATACTGCATGGAGTAAGACACGTACATCGGCAAAGGAGCCGTGAAACATGAGGCTTGTCGGGGGCTGGAAGAGCTGCGAGAGGTTTTGCGGGTCGCGCTGGGACGGGGCGTCTATAGCCACACGCTCCATCATCCATCTATCATCCCGAGAAGCTTGCGTACCGCTGTCGGCTTGGCGCGACGAGTTCATGTGCTGCGCGAGGCGCTCGATGCTCTCCTGGGCAAAGTCCTGCTGCACCAAGCCGTGCGCGTTGAGGCCGCCGCCCGACGTAAAGTCGTTGTAGCGCGAGACGTTGACGGGGCGGGTAAAGAACTGCGGCGCCGGGAACATGCGAGGTGAGTCGTACGGGTCGCCGCCTACGAGGCGCTGTCGCTTGGCTGCGTCGGGTGCGCGGACGTCGTCGTCGCCGTACGGAGCCGACGCTTGGCCGGACGCGGCGCCGCTCCCCCCGCTCTCCATGAAGAGGTTGACGGCCTCTTCCACGTGCCAGTTGGTGATGTCGAGGTACTGCTGCGCGGTCCCGGCGTCGGCCCCCGTGATGGCCATGAAGCTAGAGGAAGACGATACGCATGGTGAGGAAGGGGGAGATGCATCTACTTGGTCAGCGCTTCTTCGTTCATGCTCCTTGGTCGGTTCTGTGGATTTCGAGCACTGGCCAACGCTCCGATGGGCGTCGCGGAATGCAGGTCGTTTTTAATACAATCCCATGGATCTTGCGATTCTTTCACATTAAATTTATGTTCTCTCTAC